TCACCGATCTTAAATTCGGCAAGGCAGGAAGAAACAAAATCTTGCTATTCTTACGTTGCTACATTTTAGTAATGTATTTATTACTTTTGATTTTGATAACTTGTTAGGCATCTTACGCTAACATTTATTAACATATCTCCAACTGCAGTTGACTGGTTTCGAAGTTACTTGTTTGGTCGCCGACAGCACATTCAGATGCAATTTGTTTTTCCACAAGTACAGGGACTGGTGTACCACAAGGTAACGTGTTGTTCCCTCTCCTGTTTGAAATTTTCATTAACTCTTTAAGTCGCAACTTGTACTCTTCCTACCACTTGTGTGTTGATGATCTAAAAATCTACATTCATTCTAATTTAGCTAATGCAAACTGTTACGGTTATTCTCGCCATTTATCGTTCCCCATCATGTAGAAATATTGAAAACTTTACTAATACATTGGACACCCATTTAGCCTCTCTGCGATCTTTCAAAACCATTTCCATTGTTGGTGATATAAACATAAATACAGTCGCAGATCATAACAATCAAAACTCCCACTCATATCTTTGTCTATTAATATCACACTCAATGCAACCGGCTCATTCATTCCCTACTCGTGTCAGAAGTTGCATCGACCATGTGATACTTAAAAGTAAAAACCGCTCAGTAACTTTAATCCTTCATTCTCTATTTACGGATCACTCTCCATTATTATTTTTCTCGCAAACACGCACACACACACGCACGCTAGCACGCACGCACGCACTCATGCACGAACATATGCTCGCAAGCACGCACACATACACGCACGCGCATACGCTGCAAGTTCGCATGCACGCACGCACGCACGCACACACACACACACACACACACACACACGCACACACACACACACACGCACGCACGCTCGCACACACGCATGCACGCACTCACGCACGCACGCACGCACGCATAAATGGTCTTTGATTAGGTATCTTAAATCTAAATAACGCAACATTAAATAGATCATACTCAGGCGACACCCTTCGATGACGACCTGGCGATCTGATCGCCAGTTAACATGTAATTTTAATGAATTACATAATGACGTATGACTTCCTTTTTTTCTAGATGAATTCATGCTGGAGAAATTCCTTCATAGCTGCTATGGCAGCCTGGAACGCACAAAGAAATGCATAGAAAAGTTCTGCACCACACGTAGTGTTATGTCAGAGGTGTACACGTTGAGAGACCCCTATCGGAAAACATCAAGACTGCATTCTCCATTACGTAATTATTCTTTCTTATCTATATCTATATTAGGGATGTAACGGAAGTGATTACATTAGAACCGAATTTGGAAGCGGAGTTTTAAATTTTGTTTATCGGAACCGGAATCGGAGGTGGAGGCAGAAGAGATGTGTTAAGGGCAGATCTATTGCACTGTATTTTTCTTTTCAGTTTCTAATGTGAACTCTTCGAATTCAGTAGCATGCACAGACTTTAAATGACTTTTTAACGAAGTAGTCTTACCTCCCTTTCGTGAATATATCTTCTCACATAGTTTACACTTTGACGTATTCTCAGAAACTTCATTGAAAAATACCAAATGGTACTTGATTTTGGCTTCATTGTTCAATTCAAATAAAGTTGTTACACGTCAAATAAAACACTGCTAAAAGTAATCATAAACTCTGATAAGTAGAAATAAAGCGCGAATGTAGAACATGCCAATTGCCAAATATGAAACAAAACATCAAGTTAAAGAGTAATCGACAGAAGGCACGGGGGGAGGGAGGTTCCCGGGGCGACAGGTATAAAATTGTTTGTACACGCTGATCGCGGCTCCTCTCCAATCATCGTCCCATCAGCCTCCACAAGGCCATGGGCAAACTCTTCGAACGAGTCATCCTTATTCGCATGAGGCTCCATCTATTTCTCAATGACGGCGATCCTCTTGTCATCCTCCACCAATTTGGTTTCCGAGCGAAACATTCATGTCCCCAACAAGTTCACCGTATTGTGGAATATATTCTCAGCGGTTTCTATCCTCGTCGTCATAAGACCATCGCGGTCTTTTTCGACATAGCAAAGGCATTCGATAGAGTCTGGCACGAAGGCCTTATCTACAAACTCTATAAAATAGGTCTCCCTGATCGTCTTGTTCGTCTCGTGGTCTCTTACCTGAAGGATCGTACCTTTCGTTTAAACACGAAAGCACGCTCTCCTCTCAGCGCCCCATCAAAGCCGGTGTCCTTCAGTGCTCAGTGCTTGCCCCTTTCCTATATATCCTTTTAACCAACGACATTCCCATCCCGTCGAAAGTGTTCAGCTCTCCCTCTTTGCAGACGACACTGCCCTCTTCTGTAAAGGTATCTCACAACCTTTTATACGGAACAAGATCCAAAAGTCAGTTGATGACTTAGGAGCTTGTTTCCAAAAACGGCGCTTCGATGTGATTACCCGGAGAAGAGCTCCGCCGTTCACTTCGATCATAAACGACGCCGCCTCACTAACATTTCGACAATCCGTATGCTAGGGACCCCTGTCCCCTGGCTTACGACTGCCAAATATTTAGGTTTGACTATTATATATTTTATATATTGACACGAGGCTCACTTTCGGGGTGTCAAAAGAATAACATGCAACGCACGATTCCATCTGAGTAGGCTCATCAGTATGCTGGGCCGACACAGTAAAATGATCCTGCAAAACAAGCGAACCCTTTATAAGGTCTATATACGACAAGTCATGACTTACGCGGGCCCTATATCTGCTCACGCCCAAAATCATTATCACGTTAGCCTACTGACGTGGTATGCTTAGAGCATTCACCACCTCCCTTCCTCGCTTTCCGGAGGGTAGCTCTTTTCGATTGCTTCTGGGCGCAAAAAAAAAAACGATCGCGGCCGCCGCCTCCGCTGTGCATCGACCTCCGATATATAACTTCCGATTAAAATTTAACGGAACCGAAATCGGAATCGAAAGTGCAAAATCAATCGGAAGTTCCGAACTTTCGGAATCGGAATCGAACCTCCGTAACATCTGTAATATATATATATATATATATATATATATATATATATATATATATATATACAAATAAACAAAATTGAAGTGTCTGTTTGTAATGTCAAAATAACAGCTTTTTACTAAATGCATATAAAAGTATATACGGTATTTATAACAAAACACATTTTTTTTAATTTTTGTCTTTCTGTCTGTCTGTCTGTTTGTTCTGACTAATCTCCGAAACGGCTGGACCGATTTTGAAGGGACGTTCACTAGCAGATAGCTGATGCTATAAGGAGTAACTTAAGCTACTTATATTTTAGAAAAAGAATTAGGGTTCCGCGCAACAAAATTAAAACCCTAAATTACACGCGGACGAAGTCGCGGGGAACAGCTAGTTACTTATAAGTATTGAATATTGCAACTGTTCTTACCCGAGGCTTTGTCACCCACCGTGAACTGGACTACAACGGTAATAGAAATCCTAATGAAATGTGGCTCCTAGTTCCCATTTTTTGATACCTATAACATCCATGTTGCGGACCTCGGATAGTCCAGAAGAAAAAAGATATATTTTTATTTGTTCTACAAACAGTACAGTAAACCAGATTAAAACTTTTTTATATTTAATTTGACACAATTAATTCTTTAAACAATAAAATCTTACACTTATTATTTTTCAGGGTGATGTAACCCTGAGTTTGAGCACTGGCCGAGCAGGTTTAAAGCAGTTTTTCTCGACACGCCAGTGCTCACGCACCACGCGCCTCAAGTTTATATTATTGTAATTATCATAGCGCGGTTGTATGAAGCTTTGCAATTTACGGTATGGTTTCTTCACTTATGTGTCAACGCCTTCTCGATAATTGTCAAGAACTTCGAAACGTGTGACAAATCATAACAACTAGCATAAATGATATCGCTTCTGTGTGTATAAGAGGTTTATAGCATAATTATCAAGGATAATTTCGAACCTACACACTTTTCATGTATCGTGTACGGTTTTCTTTAAAACTGGAAAAATCCGCGCTTCGAGACATTTTCTGGAGCGCGGTGGGGTGACGCTCACCCGGTAGGGGGAGGGAGAGTGGATAAAATTTAACTATGCTCTATAACATACATATGCCGATAGATAAAAGTAGACTACTCCATTAATTTTTCCAATTTTTCCGTACATTGCTATCTAGAAGGCTTGAACTATAAAACTTTTACTCCGAATTCAGCACTCTGAACTTTTAACAGTGTAAATATAAAATTTATTAATAATCCGACGGTCCGACGGACCTATCACTTCCATAATCTGTGATTTTTTTAGCACTAAGCCAACGTCTTTTATATTTAGGTATTGTGAATGAGTAATTTTGGTCTAAATTTCAAAGAGAAATTTGTCAATAACTTGACTGAATGTGTGAAATAAAGTCAAATGTAAATTCTTTATTTTTTCGAACGTACGTGATCCCCTTACCAAAATCATCGCGTTGTTGTCTTGAGAGACGACGGTGGGTAATAAAATAGAAAATGGGCAGTACCATCTTCCTTACTTAAACGTTAAAAATTAATAAAAAAGCTATGGTTGTGCGCTAAGCGTGGCAACGATGGCAAAAATGGCTGTCCCAAATCACTTATATTCAGCTTATGAGAGGTGGTTATGAAAAAAATTAGTTTGTAAATGTCTCGTTATAAATCTTGTGCATTTTCCTAAGTAGCCTCTGACGACCTTCGGGTTCAGATGGGACAGCGGATCTTCAGGCACTACACAGCAATTTCAATAAAATGACTAACATCAAAATTGTCACTAAGTTTTTTTATAATTTAGTTAAATTTTTTATTATTTAATTAGATTCCTTTTCTTCCTCAGAAACGTAACAACTTACGAAGCAGGCGATTATGAAATCCTGATTCACCAACTTCAAGACCCGACTCTCGAAAGATTTCAATTTTACGATGTGTTGAAAAGTTTCACGCTACAGGCTGATGTATGGATCAAGACTCAAAAATTTCTACCTGAGGGTCATATTATAATTATAGATATGAAGAGTTACTCATTGCGTATAATTCCGAAGGTCAACGTTTTCTTTTTCAGAGACTTTCTACTATATCTATTGGTAAGAATACACATCATATATCATATTACACATGTCATTACTGATATTTCGGCATTGTCCTGCTGACCCAGAAGTAGCGCTATGGATTTAGTAGAATTAGTTAAGTATCATACAAAGGTTTTCGAGTAAAAAAGAAAAACGAAAAAGAATGGAGAGACCTCAACGTGACGTTTTCTTAAGTTATTCAGGGAGTCAATGAATGCGGGTTGTATAAGGTCATGCATTATGGTAATCTAGAGGAGGAAACTTAAAAAGAAGATATTGTGAAACATATTTTAAACGATAATTATTAGGGTAATCAGTCTTATTGTTACATGCAATAAACTGTCATAATATTGATCATGACATTATTCCAGTCCATTTTATTGTATTATAATTTTCCACAACATAATGGTAGATACACAGCAGTGGACAGTATACCTATGACCACAACTTTCCAGTGGTCGTAGTGTCATTTGGCGGTCGACAAATCGTACAAATCACTATCTTACATCATTCATCATCATCATCATTACAGCCCCGTGCTGTTTCACTATCTCACCTAATACGTGTAAATAAAGAGTAAAATAAAACTGACTGTGTCAAACAGGATGTGAATCCCATAGTTACGCTAGTGTTAGATTATAACGAAAATATAATAAAAACTTTAAGCAATATGGCAGTGACTCAAAAAAAGTTTGAGATTTTACGAGAAAATCAGTAAAGGTGTGTAATTAATTTAATAATATTATTTTTTTGCAATTTTAGTTGGTTCAATTCGCGGCTCAGGTAAGCTTATTCCATTTTTTTTTAATATTTTTATCCCTATTTTGAAAAACAAAGGGCTGTTTCCTTTAAGTGAAATTTAATATCTTCAATATTTAATGTAAGTACTTTCGTTCGTTCGTTTTTTCTATCGTGTATAGGTAATCACGAACTGTCACTGCCTATCTACTTAAGACAATAAATCAAAGAAGCACACGATTCGCCTCCTAAATATGTCAAATTACTGCTAGAAATCATAGAAGGGGTGCTTTTATAATTTTAAGGTGGTAATTGACGTTTTAGTAGTAGGTCAATGAAGACGGTTTTAAATAAAGGAAGGTAGTATTCGCAGTGCTGTTTCATATTTAAGCATTCCGTCATCGCCGAATACATGAATCAGTGACAAAAGTAAAAAAAATAGTAGTTTCTGTAGAAATCTTGCTTCAAGGGTAATATGAAATTTAAAAGAGCGTCTTGAGAGTTACAGTGGCTACTAATTTATATTATAATATTAATCGTATATCCAGCAGATCCAGCAGTTTTAATTTTTATATTATACTAAACCTGCGCTTAACTACAATCCCACCTGATGATGAGTGGTGATGTAGCCTAAGATGTTGAAGCGCACTGACTTAACAAAAGCCTATTCACTCTTCCCTTGAAGACACCCAAATTGTAATCGGATGAAAAGACAGATGCTGGCAACTTATTCCACTCCTTTGCTGTACACATCACGAAAGATGTAGCAAACCGTTTGATTCGAATGCAAGGTAAGTCAACAACGAAAGGTTGGAGACTGGCTGAAAATCCGGTTGTCCGATGGTGGAAGGGAGAGGAAGGCATTAAATTATGCAATTCATGCTCACACTTCGTAATGCATCCTGTAGAAAACCGAAAGGCTGGCTACTTTGCGCCTGTGTTCGAGGCTGGTGAGATTGGTTTTAACCAAATTTAGGTCACCAATCTTACTTTATAAAGTAAGCAGCTGTCCCGGCGTGAAGTATCGCCTCACCTTTGCAACAACTCCTAGCATCCTTGCAGCTGCTTTGGCCTTGGACTCAATGAACCACCCGAATTTTAGATTTGAGGGTATATCAACCCCCAACAACTGACGGTCGGTGTATTCCAGTGATACATTTCGGAAAGAAGGAGCCAAGGTGAGCTGGCTCCTTTTTGCAGTGAAGAGACACGCTTGTGTTTTGGAGGCGTTGAACTTCACAAGATTGGCATCGCCCCAGTCGGAGACTGCCTGTGGAGTGAGATTCACACGCTCTACCATAGCTTCTCTTTCACCATAGGATCGGATGAGCAGTCATCGACGACGACCCGGAGAGACCGTTCACTCAGAAAGTCCTTTACCCATTCAATCAGACCAGGGGATAAGCCATACGCTTACCCAAAAGGCTAGTATGCCAAACTCTATCAACGACCTTCGAGACATCGAGGGAAACAGCAAACGTTTCCCCGCTGTTCTCGAGTGCCTCACCCCATACGTCTGTGGCATACACTACAAGGTCCCCAGCTGACTGATTTCGGCGAAACCCGTAGTGCCGGTCACTAAGGAGATCATTCTGTTCTAGGTATGCCACTAAGCGGGCGTTCAATATACGGTCCATAATCTTGTAGAGTATGGTAATTGAGAATTACCGGTAATTGGCAGGGTCGGTACGGGTGCCTTTTTTAGAACAAGCTGCACGTTGACCAGCTTCCAGAATTTTGGCACTATTCCAGTCCTAAATGAGAGGCAGAACAAGCGTGTCAGCACAGGAGAACAACTCAGGTGCACAAGCCTTTAGAACTACAGCTGTTATACCGTCTGGTTCACTAGCCTTATTCTCGTATCGACACCGCAAGAAGGTTTTAAGAACCTCCTTATTTGTTATACGAACCTCCGACATAGAGGTCCCGCAGGGAGGTAATTTAGGTGGAACGTTGTTGCCACTGTCCAGACGCGAACAAGTCCGCTTTCTTTTTAGCCGTACGCGCCAGTGTGCCATCCGGTTTTACCAGCGGAGGCAGTGCAGGCCGACAGAAGTTTGTCTCGACCGCTTTGGCGAGAGACCAAAAAGCTCTAGTGCCGGATGGTCTGCCAGAGAGTTTTGCGCCAATATGTTTAATGCGATCGAGACTAGCTTTCCGTAATGTTTTTTTGTAGGACTTGGTGGCCTGGTTGAAAGTTCTCTTTTTGTATCTAATATCCGGAGCTTTACAGTTTCGAGCGTAGACCCAGGATAGGTACGCTAAATGCTTGCGCTTTTCAGCTTGGGCGCATTCAGCGTTAAACCATGGGCGAGCTTTGCTACTGATGGGAGCGTCAGAGAAGGAATAAAATACTCCACAGCTTGACGCTACATATCCATTATGGCAACCGCGCAGCTCGACGGATCGGCAGAAGAGAAACAGACCTCTTGCCAAGGATAGGATGCAATAAAGTGTCGCATCTCATCCCAATCAGCTGACTTATACCGCCATATTCGTCGAACACCTTGGGACTCGTAATCAGGTGGAGAATATGACGATACTGATTTCACCAGACAGTGGTCAGATGTACCCAAAGAGTAGGTAACCTGTACTTCATACCTGTCTGGTTCGATAGTCAGCAGAAGGCACAAGCAATTGGCTGTGTGATTTTCTACATCGGGTACCCTAGTCCCTTCCTTTACCAGCTGAGAAAGACCTAGCATCAAGGAGCAATTCCACACTTCTCTTCCAGCATGTTCGGTCTTCTGATATGGGAACAGCCAGTCTTGGTGACAAGCGTTAAAATCCCCCAGAAAGACCAACTGTGCAGTAGGATACCAATTTAGGACCACATAAGCAGCCTCAGATAATCGTGTTGTCTCCTGGTCACCGCTGTGCGATCGATAGACACAGGCATAAAGGATTTTATCAGTACCTACCATCTCCCAGATTGTCGAATAAGTGGGGTCTTCAAGGTGACGGAGACGCTGGAAGTAGATGTTATTGCGGATGTACACACAGACTCCGGCACATAGATGGAATTTGTACTCCAGGGAGAATCCAGGATAGTCACGGTACGACGCATTCAATAGACATCCAATTTGGGTCTCCGTCAAGAAAGTAGGAAAAGCAGCTTCTCAGTCTCAAGATGGTGATGGGCTGCGCTGAGATTAGAGTGCAATCCTTGATTATGAGGAGCTAATTTACTTATTGGGGCCCCAACTATCTGAGGTCGGCCAGCAGAACACCGTGCTTCGAATCCCGCTACCCACAACGACCAAGCACCCGATACAGCAACAACTGACACTTTGCAACCCGGTTCACACACACAACGCTACTGTTCAGACCCATTCTCCATATGGCTTCACCAAGCATCATGCCGGAGCACGACAACGTCATTTGGCGATAAGACTTTGCATTGGTGGGTGGGAACCAAAAGGCAAGCGGCCGAAACCTACCACCGGAATTGGTGCTGCTCGTAGCTTCAGTAAATGTCTCTGTATCTCCTAGTAACAGGCAATATGACGTTTTTCTTGCTGCTACTATACTTCTACTAGATATTTATTGTGTCTCAACTGTCTACATTCTCACAAGATACCACCGTGAATATGCTCGGCGGTGAAGGAAAACATCGTGAAAAATTCTGCATAACTGAAAAATTAAAAAAAAATTATAGTGATATGTAATGTCCGCCAACACGCATTGGGGCAGCGCGGCTTATATTTCCTTGCCCTTAAACCCTCTCATAAATTAAAGGAAGCCTGTCAGGTGTGGGCCGAACATAGGATCTTACTTTACTAAACTTTACCACCGTTAATAAGTAATATTACGCTATATGTATTCCGGAGACTGAAGTTGAATTTAGTTCCCACTGCTTGTCAATTATAGCACTCAGGACTCACAACGCACAATCTAGATTCCTAAATACCGATGAAGTTGAGTAGTGGCCAGTTACAAATCAAGTTAAATATTATTTATCAAGTTAAATATTCCTTGAGTTAAACCATGTACCTATTATTTTATGCGTGGGCATTTTATTAATTACATGTCGATTGAAAAAAGTAACACTGCGTTAGTAACAAGTACGTTACTATATCGAACCAGTATATTAACGTACTTATATCATTTTAATTTATCTATCATTTCAGGAAGGAAAACCTGTACGTGTCAAACAAATTTACGCAATAAATGCGCCCCATTTTTATGATAAACTATATACACTGGTCAAACCTGTTTTGCCTGCAGATATTTGTAATATGGTGAGATTTTTTTATAGTCTACAATATCATCATTATCATTACAGCCCCTCACAAGTTCCCCTAAAAATCCTCTGTGGTCATGAGCCACCTGCATCTCTTACCATTATTTGCTCACATTTATTGCTCGCGATTTATGAAACTTTACAGCCAGCTTAGCTCATAAACCACTGATTCACCTTAGATCGGTTAAATGTTAATTTAAAACTTAATAATGTGGTAAGAAACAAGAATACAGTAATAGTTTGTTTACTTTCACCCTTTTAGCATTAGTCTTTTAATGATATAACTGCATGACTATGGTCAGTATGTTTGCGCCACTTTGCACTACCGCCTAACGCTTATGAGATTCGTTGATTATTATTCAGTGAGAATACTGCAAAGCCCATTTCCAGGTTTCCTATTTACCGTCTTTTATACCTAACATGTGCACTCGTATGTTAACGGGATTCTCACAAGTTCAGTGCACACGCAACCAACCGCATCGCCTATATCTCACGTTATCGCTCCTCTCTGTGTAATTTAGATATTAAACTACACAAAAACATAGTGAAGTGTATAGATATTTGCTATAACGCTATATTTCACGAAGATTTCGAGAAGTTTATATGTGTGAAGACAGCCGGCATCTATTCATCGTGGCCACAGCCCTTGAGACACGAGGCAGATTAGCAGAAGTCCAGGTGAGTGCACATGCATTCCTTCACATCCTTCCTGTAGCCCGAATTTAGGGGCATTTGCAGTATCGTGAAACAGTAAATTAAAAAAAAATCATTCTTTTAATAACTCTGAACCAGTAGTTGGTCAACCAACACACAGTTTTTAGTCAATATGGCCGGGCCCGGGATAGTTAATTTTTGTCCAATTATTGGCCCTCCGCCAGGATCAGAACCACAGTAACAATTATTATAATTATTGTATTAGTTGAAATGTACCTATAGGCTCACATAGGTATTGCGTGATTTATCAAAATTCAGATCGTCTTACAATGCCGAGCATGATGGCAAACACCGCCTCGTGTTTATGATCTCACGCACATTTTACACTGCTACGGCAGCACAGATACACTGTATTTTACGTCTAGTGTAAGGTGTAGATAAGGTTGTATTACCATAAATCGGAAGCCATATTTCTTTGGCATTTCCCAAAGTCGCCTTTTACGATATCAAAGAAGCAAAAGGGAGCGATGGATTATTTAAGCCGCCACCGCACAGCATAAAATGAGCAATAGAACAGTTTCAATTCCAGGCCTAATATCGCCCGTAATATTTTTTTCGTTTTGTAATCTGTTCACGATGTATACACACATCGCATAACAGGCGAAGGTGTATTAGCTCAAATATCTGTGCTACAACAAAATTATACACATACAACGTGTATCGTGTGTCGGATTCTTAATATAGGGCAAAGAGGTATGCTAAAATATGATACTTATGATACTTTAATCATTTGTGTATCACTGGCAAGTTATTTTACCATCGTGGAGGCTGGATGTTAAGACATAATTTAAAATGGAGCACTTATTATATAGATAATAATCTAGAATTTATTCAGTAACTTCAGACAGTAACAACAACACATACAGTTTTATTACAGAAAATATGGGCAGTTAGTTAGGTGCGTAAGATTGACTTATATATTGAAAAAATACAAAGACAAAAATAAACAAGAGAACACAGACTTAGAATAATCTGATTGCATGAGTGGTGTGATGCAGAAATAAATACATAATGCTGGAAAATTTTGAAAAATAAAATTATTTTTTTCGTCAGAATCTGGCAATAATTCGCTCGCAGCAATAATTTACTAGGACTATAGCCCCAAGAATCTATAACCTTTTGACTACTACTTGTGATTGTTTATTCACGCGCAACAGTTCTAATTGATTTGCTGAATTCAAAAACGTACGGAAAAGATGAAGCGATAACATGCCGAATTCTAACCGCGATCATTTAAGAAAATGTTCGCTAAATCAAAATACTTATTCAAGAAACTCAACGATTTACATACACATATAGAGCTTTAGCGAGGATTGGAGCAGTAGCAATTCAAATTTGTGGCGGCGCTGTCGTCGCGCCACAAGCGAAACACATCGAAGCTTAAATCGCACTAACAAAGTTCCGAAGTTAAAGCAGCATATATAGAATAGCTCCGAACTACCACTCGGAGCGTTGGCCGCACCTTGCCTGGCGGGAGATCTCCCCTTTTCCATCCACCCGCCATAGTGGTGACCAACCGACGTGATATGAACACGCAACCAACAACCTTCGGAAATTACCCCATTCATTCGCTCCCGAGCAGATATTGTCTGCAGTCTTCACATTCGGCAAGCCATCTAGCTTTACAAAAGTTTCATCGCAGCATTGGAATAATAATGCTTCCTGTTCTTTCAAGCTACTCTCTGCGCTACAGTGTTTGCCACGGCTCTGAGCCTTACTGCTCGCCTGATTACGTGCCTTCGTCTCGACTCACCACAGACTACAAGGCAATCCCCTGGCACATTGCTCCGGCTCATCGTTCTCACCGGCATCACTTGCAAGTGCATAGTACGGAATGCATTACACATCGGTATATCGTTCGCACAGGCGTCACTTGCCCTTAGGTACACAGCATGCATTCCCCATCGGCATTAAAGACGCACCGGCAATCGGACTGCACTATAGACCTCCGGTCTGAGCAAGTGGGTGATGTGGCAGTGCTGTCGTCTCCGACCGAATAGCTCCGAACTACAACTCGGAGCGTTGGCCGCTCCCCGGGCAGAACATCTTACGCGGCGGGAGATCTCCCCTTTTCCTTCCTACGGCCACAAAATCATCTTTCACAACTTTCCCTCCTTTAGCATTGTTTGAGATGAGTGTAGCACAAGTCTACAGATGATCAAAAAGACCGTCTGGTGGATCGATGCCTATTCATGAAAGATAAATTCGACGCCAAAGAGAAAAACAATGTTTATGATAATACATTATATAATGACTAGCGATGAAACATAGCCACATAACTATGATCTTGAAACAAAGCGGCAGTCAACTACTACATGATGTTTTGAAACGATACACCACCTAATTCCGAAGAGTTCTAAAATTGGCACCATATCCATATTCCGAGGTATTTAGAAAAACTGTGTTTACGAACAATTTACAAGCAATTTACAAGCTCTTTTTTACTCCAAGATCCCTTATTAAATTAATAATATAATTTTGCGTAATTATATCATCAAAGATCTGAATTAATGTGTATATCAACATTTTAAAATAATTGGTTTTTGCGTCAGCAACTGCTCTGAACCCACGCTTCATACATTTGAAACGTAATTATCGTGTTTTTTTAAATAGTGACTTTTTTGTTATTTTTGTACCGTATATGTAATTCTTCGAGTTAAACTATCTCATGGATTATACGTTTAATCGAAAACACTAAACTTCATCAATCATCTTGAAAATACCGCGGCATTTATTGCCAAATATTTCAGACAGTTCCTTATTCCAACTGCGAAATAGCGATTTCAGATACTTGATTTCTTTTTTTAATTTTCAGGGTTGATTTTATGATAAGGCCCTTCCCGCTTTGGGTTTGACAGTTCAAAAAGACAATTAATACTAAAATCTAATTCCTATACTTTTGCATTTCATTCACTAATTATAGCATGTCAAAGGTGATCTATTTAGGTATTTTGTTTGTTAATTGTTGTATGAGAATGCTAGAAGTAAAATTTAAGTTCATACAGAATTCGATGTAATTTATAGCAAGTGCTATCAATCAATCAATTTTTATTTATTTTAATACGATGGGTATTATTATAAATAAAATTGATTAGCTGGGTATATAGAATTTTTTCCAAAATAAAAGGAACACATAATATTAACGAACAACTTTTTTTGCTTTCATCCAGACTTAAAATGCTAAATTGTAGTCCACAGGCAGTTAAAATGTTTAATAAATTAATTTGAATATAAGGTATTAATAGGATTTTATTTCATAAGTATGAAATAATGTTTATATTGATTATTAGAATGGATGCTTATTACGTAATCAATCCATATATCCCCACAAATTTTGACATACCTACATAATAGTTCAATGATAATACAACTGGAAAATTTGCTCTCGCTTAGGTTTTGTGAAAGATACGTAGGTCACTCAATAAGTTTTGAGATATACAAAAAGTATTGTAGATACTATTAATATTTATTTTACATCTTTTCAAAATATTCTCCATCATGCTCTATACAAAGCTCCATTCGCCTAAACCAACTCTGAAAACACTTTTGCCAGTCTTGATCTGACAGGTCAGAAAACGCTTCTTCGTAAGCAGCCACGGTTTCTTCGGCGCTTGAAAAAAATTTGCCTTTTATTTTTTCTTTGACACTTAGTAACAAAAAAATCACACAGAGCTACGTTAGGGATATGGGGTGGGTGACTTAGAGTTTCAACACCAAATTCCTCAATAAATGCTTTTGTTCTAAGGGAGGTATGTGAAGAGGCGTTATAGTGATGTAGCATGATTCCCCGAAGCCCGATCTTTGGTCTTCTCTCCCGCACAGCTTGAAAAGCTTTGGATAATGCAACTGTAGTATACCATTGAGAGTTGACTGACCTACAATTTTCCAGCATTGACGTCGACAAATGTCCGCTCCGCGAATAAAACTAGCCACCATTTTATTGCCGACGTTGCGAGGTCTTTGCAGTTTTGTCGATAACCGTCCTTCTGAGTAGACCCATACCGATGATTGCCTTTTATTTTCTGGATTATATAGATAGATCCATGTCTCGTCACCAGTAACGATTTCCGAAACACGCCTAGATGCCCCGTTTTCAAAACGTAGACGCATTTCATGGCACCAATCCACACGAGTCTGTTTTTCGCTTTCGGAGAGCAAACGAGGGATCCATCGACAACAAAGCTTTCTCACTCCAAGATGTTGATGTAGGATGGTATGAATGATCCCCGAACTAATGCCTACAATGTTTTCGATGTCTGTATATATAATTTGTGGGTCTTCTCGCACCAACATTTGAGTAGTCCATACATTTTCTGCCGTTACTGACTGACCGGGGCCCCGCATCTGTATGTATGGTTCTTTGGTCATCTTTAAGATTAATTTTACCCCTTTTGAATTCAGCAAACCACTGAAAAATTATTGCGCGTGATAGAGCTGAGTCCCCTAATGCTGATTGTAACAGTTGTAAACTTAATTGTTCGGTTAAACCAAATGTTGTATTTTGAAATTATACTCTGACGTGTCCATGCTATGTGTATTGTCTGCTATCTTCTCTAATCAGTGTAGTATAACAGTTAACTAAACACGTCCACTCTCGCCCGAGGCTCTCGTGTAACTGACGCGGTGCGCTCGAGACAGTGAATTATATATAAATGTATGTTTGTGTATTTGTGCATGGTAAATTATTACTAAATAAATCAAATAACAATATTTACTGTGTATACTATATATATGCAAACACTACACTATGGTAAAACTCATTTCGAGTTTAGTAAAAACACTGCCGAAATACGTGCCTTAATTAATATTATTATTATTATTAATATTATTATTATTATTTATTTTTCTGTAATTCGTGTCATTTGTATGTATTAATTTGAATTAGTGTATGCCAGTTTATGCCCCAATTAATTAGTTTGTGCTCTTTACCTGTTTGGAAGAATCAAAGATAAATTAAAACAAGACAAGAGGATTGAAAGCAAAGAACTGGCAGTAGCTAGATTTCTGAGGTGGCTAAAGAAGAGAGGTATTTGAACTATGGCAAAGTATATAAGTACTCAAGCTCAAGATAACTGTTACGGCCTACAGCTGCTCCAGCAAGGATCGAATCTTCCGGGGCCCATGACCAGAAGATTCCACAAGCAGCCGCAGGTCGGGCCCAAAATGGCCACATAGAAGAATTTCCTATAACACTAAGCTATATGGGAGAATTCTAGAAACACATATTACGTACCAGTATCAGCAGCTAACTTCGCACCTAGGCTCGGTCAGGCCGTGAGTGGGTGTGAGGTGAATGGCAGGTAGTGTTCAGTGATGTGTAAATGTGTGAGGCCTTGACCATCTTAGGCGAACAGCAGCGGCCGAGTTCCAGGCTGCTCCAAAATGCTGCATCGCTCCAGAAGGCTCCACCGCTGGACTATTTCTTTCTTCCTTGTCACTATTTCAGTTTATTAGCTTCATTGTACATTTAACTAACTTAAACTCGCCTAATTCCACACTCATCGCAGAATCGAACACGTGACACCCGACTCAGTAGGACAGTAGTTCCAATTCGACACTCAATGTCCCGGATTCACTTATCACAAAATTATAAAGAGGGAATTAAAGCGATCTCTTAATGAATCATGCTACTCAGCGTTAAACACAACTAAGTTCCTTTATTCGACACCAAAACACCACGTCGCGAAAAGATTCAACGTACGCCTCATTGACACGTAAACTAACAAGCCAACACACACAAAAAAGGGTACTTAAAGCGACGGCACAATTATAATGATTTCCTGACGATCAACCGGGAGAAGCTCTCGAACAAGGAATGCGCGGTTCGAATCCTAGACCGTATATATACTCGACGCGCGTGTGCACAATTCCACATCCCCGAACAAGTTAAATATTGCAAAATTCACATATCCACGTAAGGAAGTAACACGCCATTAATCTAACTATCTGGACCCGACCACGGTTGCGTGGCTACGCGGGTTCCCCGCTTTGCGGCCAGTGGGCAACTCCCCCATCACCCATCATCGCCCACGCGTCGAGCCGCTGCAAGCCGCACACGGCCGCCCCACCTCGGCGCTTATCTCACCTACATACTATCGGGTGACGCACCAGCTCGAACGCAATTAAGTGGTGTTCAAACATGACCAAATTTGGGCATAAACAATAACTATACATAAACTTACTTATACTTTATAACAGATACTTTATACAAAGATCGACACTAGAAATTAAAGTATTATAATTTAGAGTCTAGTATATTTTGGCATGAACCTCGTAGGTCACCGCGACAGCACCACTTGATCTCATTTTCTATTATAAGGGCCATCATACTAAAAATTTATGAAAGCTACGTCATTGTAATTACAGATAAAATTTTTGCCGGACTGCGAGAGCCTACATAAATGGATAGATAAAAAATATTTGCCAATTGAGTATGGAGGTGAAGCTCCTAGTATGGAGAAACAGCATGGAGACTGGGTCAGCCAAATTCAAGCGGAAAGGTATTTATAAAATTATGGAGTAAATTGGTATCCCTCGCGATGCTTCCGTGAATCACGGTTTGGACTGAGAAATAATTATATATCCAGAAAATATTAACAACTATTAAGCTACTTCTACTTATTTAATTTCCTTCAAGTGAATTCAAAAGACTAACTTCGACTATTTTTCAATAGATTGAATGCACGTAAATGAAACAGCCATAAATCTTAAAGGTTACAACCCAGCCTGTCAATTGGAGTTAGTGAGCGAAAAGTAAAATGTTAATAATTTAAAATTAAAAATTTTGTACAACCGACTTCAATATAAATTATGAAGAATAATTCAAAATCTATTGGTCAGACCTTAATCAATTTATATGGGACCACATGTGAAGCACCTGCTTTCAAATGAAAAAAAAATCATCGAAATCGCTACACCCAATAAAAAGGTATGCGGTAGCACACATAAAAAAAACATAACACATAAATACATAAACACTCACGCCTGTCACCCAGAGGGGTAAGCAGAGACTACACTAGACTAGACATTTGGCGCGGTGCTGACACACCTCTCTCGCCTCCTTTAGATCCATATATCTACGCATGCACGCCCGTCGGTTAAGGGTACTCCTAATCTGGCCCATTTTCAATGTATCGCCCGATTTGGTCGATAAACCTTCGTCTAGGGCGTCCCTTTCCGACCCTGCCGTTCACTTCTGTAACATAAATTTGCTTTGTCACTCTTTCCTCGTTCATTCTTTCTACATGACCAAACGACCGAAGCATTCCTTTCTTAATCCTGGTCACAACGTCATCTTGCAAACCACACTTTTCTCTTATCCCACTATTTCTCACCCTGTCATTCAGATTCAGTCCTAGCATACTCCTTAATGACCGCATTTTTACAGTATTTATTCTACTCTCATGTTTCTTCTGCCAGACCCAACTTTCACTACCATACATTAAAGTAGGGACTAACACAGCATTATGAATTGCCATACGTGCCTTATTTGACACATTCTGACTCCTGTGTGTAATAGCCAAGGCCATTTACACTTATTCTCGCTTAGGTCCCATCCGGCAAATTCGTACCGTCCCATAAAGAACTTCGTTCCAAAAATCCCGGGAGTGATAATGCTGCTCCTAATTTTACACCGGTACTTACTTTTATGTATTTTTCGACTTATCGCCAGAGTTTTTAGCCTAAACCTAAGGCTGACACTCCAAGAAAAACCTATTTAACTTGACGTACAGTTCTAAACTGTTTCTGAAGGTGATAATTATAAAAACAGAATTAGAACAGTTTACCAATGTATGATTCATGTAGATCTGGAGGATCACAGAATACCAGCGTAAAATCGCAGCTTAATGCTGCTGTGTTTCGTATGGTAAGTGTAGATAACCGGAGACCCTTTTTACTGCAAAAGAGGCCTACTCATAAGATGGAATATCTTACGCATAGTTCTCATGGCTGACAACGCATCTGCATTTTGATTTTATTCTTTCTTTCTTTTTTTTTTAAACCTAACCTCCACTTTAACTCCACGTTTTCCCCTGTATCGCGGATGCAGATAGATGTAGATGTCTATGGGCCACATCAACCACTTATCGTCAGGTGGACTGTGTGCTCGGTTGTCACCCTTATACTATAAAAAAAAATTAAAAAATTATTTTCATTTTTCTTCCAGAGATATGTTCCTAAACGACAATATGTGGAAAGCAGATTTAAAGAAAAAACCAAAGACAAATGAATCGAATTCAATGAATGGATCCTTCAAAACATTGTGTATAGATTAAATTAAATTATTAATGTGAAATAATAATGTAAATTATAGAAAAAACAATAATATATCAAACATTATACTATTCATTCATCTTTATCTCTATGTTTATACTAGGTTTTAATCAATATGTTTTTGGAAACGCAATAAAACTTCAGAAAAATATTTCTAAATTGTATTTATTTTTAAAAGTAATTGCCTTTTAACCTAACTCTGAATAATATATTGAAAGTTGTTCATTTCCCTTGAAATAAAAGGCTTGATCTTTAAAGTACACTTGACCTCATCTTTTCCGCCAAATTTTACACCACGCAAGTCCTATTTCATAACATAAACACTCACGCCTGTCAACCAGAGGGATAGGCAGAGACTACATACATTTTTTTTTATAGGAGAGGGGGCAAACGAGCATGCGGCTCACCTGATGGTAAGTGACTACCGCCGCCCATGAACAACTGCAACACCAGGGGAATCGCAGATGCGTTGCCGGCCTTTTAAAAAAGAGTACGCTCTTTTCTTGAAGGTCCCTAAGTCGTATCGGTCCGGAAAAATTGCTGATGGTAATCGATTCCACAAGGAGGTCGTGCGAGGAAGAAAACATCTTCTAAATCGCACAGTGGTGGACCGCCAATCATCCAGATGGTGTGGATGGTATCGGGAGTTCTGCCGCGATGTGCGTTCGTGAAATTTGGCGGCTGGGATTAATCCGAACAATTTCTCAGAGCACTCCCCATGGTAGATGCGAAAGAAAATGCAAAGGGATGCAACATCTCTTCGCAGTGCCAATGAATCGAGCCGATCGGAAAGGGCTCGGTCGTCGACGATTCGAGCAGCTCTGCGTTGGATGCGGTCAAGTGGAAGGAGCTGGCACTGGGGCGCCCCAGCCCAGAGATGGGAACAGTTTTCCATGTGAGGCCGAACTTGCGCCTTGTAAAGTTGCAGGCGGTGTGCCGGCATGAAATACTGTCCCGCCCTGCTGAGCACGCCAAGCTTTTTAGAGGCCAATTTGGCCTTCCCTTCCAAGTGACCACGAAACTGCACGTCACTCGATATGTCGACTCCGAGGATACCGATACTGGCTGAGGCAAGAAGGGGAGTGCCTTGAAACTGAGGAGATACGACAAAGGGGTTCTTTTTAGCGGTAAACGCGCAAACTTGTGTCTTCTGAGGATTAAACTGGACTAGATTTAGTCGCCCCCAATCCGAGACTTTGCTCAGCAAAGACTCGACTTCAGACACAAGTTTGTTCCGGTACTCAGCGACGTTTTCCCGAGAAATATTGGCACGGCCGGTGTATAGAGCATCACCAGTGCTGTCATCCGCATAGCAATGAATGTTACCAGTTAGCAACATATCATTGATATGCAGAAGAAACAGCGTTGGTGATAGCACACAGCCTTGTGGAACACCAGCGTTAATAGGCTTGTAGTCAGAGCATGCACCGTCTACAACGACCTTGATGCTCCGATCTGCAAGGAAGCTGGTGATCGAATTGCACAATTTCTCGGGAAGCCCATAGGAAGGGAGCTTCGAAAGAAGCGCTTTGTGCCAAACCCGATCGAAGGCCTTCGCAATGTCCAGACTAACGGCCAACGCCTCCCCCTTGGACTCTACTGCCTCCGCCCATCTATGGGTCAGGTAGACCAGAAGATCACCAGCTGATCGACCCCGACGAAAACCGTATTGGCGGTCACTAATCAGCTGGTGATCCTCAAGGTACCGGATGAGCTGGCAGTTAATAATGGATTCCATTATTTTGGAGAACAAGGAGGTGATCGCGATAGGCCTATAGTTGGATGGGTCTGAGCGGTCGCCTTTTTTAGGGATCGGGTGGACAAAAGCTGTCTTCCATGAATTCGGGACTACGCCTTGGGAGTAGGAGTACCGGAAAAGACGCGTTAGGACCGGTGCCAACTCCGGAGCACACGTCCTCAGCACAATTGGGGGGATTCCGTCAGGCCCACTCGACTTCTGGATGTCCAGGGAGAGCAGTGCTTTGCGAACCGAGCGCTGTAAGAACAGCACATCCGGCATGGAGCACTCACACCGCGGGATGGTCGGCGGTGTTTTCCCCCCGTCATCAAGAGTCGAGTTGGACGCAAAAAGGGAGCCTAAAAGGTCGGCTTTGTCTTTTGCGTCATGGGCCAGTGAGTCATCCTCCCTGTGCAGAGATGGTAGTGATCGCTTACAGAAATTCCCTTGGACAGCCTTGGCGAGAGACCAGAATGCACGGGTTCCCGAAGGAAGGTGAACTAGTTTCTCGCCAATTCTGCCTATGTGCTCTGACTTTGCCCTGGCAATAACTCGTTTGAAGGACCTGGAGGCGAAGTTAGAATGAAGACTGCATTCCGTCCCAATCCGCCGACCTGTAATGCCATCCATTTGTTACGATTCTGACACACCTCTCTCGCCTCCTTTACATCCATATATCTGACGAGCATGTATGCGTATACATGCTCGTCAGTTAAGAGTACTCCTACACTGGCCCATTTTCAATATATCGCCAATTTGGTCGATAAACCTTTGTCTAGGGCGTCCCTTCCCGACTTTGCCGTTCACATCTGCAATATAGATTTGATTTGTCACTTTCTTCCTTTATTCTTTTTACATGACCAAATCACCAAAGCATGCCTTTCTTAATCCTGGTCACAACATCATCCTGCAAGCTACACTTGTTTTATGACACAATTTCTTACCCTGTCATTCAGATTCAGCCCCTAGCATACTCCTTAATGACCGCATTTCTACAGCATTTATTCTACTCTCATGCTTCTTTTGCCACACCCAACTTTCACTATCATACATTAAAGTAGGGACTAACACAGCATTATGAATCCTTTTTCAAATTGCTAAAACGGCAAAATCTCTATTTTCAGAAAAGGTGTGTATCCGTGAGTTTCAGTTCAGTTATATTTACAACTATCGAAAGCTGTAAGATCTTTCGGCCGTTTCCCTTGGTCGCTTCTTCACTTTCAGGGCTAAATTAAGTGATAGATTCTTTTACTCCGTTAGATCTCACGGCGCATGTATGCAGTATGTAATTCCACTTATGCTACAGTCAAATGTCGAGACATCTGTTACAGACAATTTGAAATGAAGTTTAATTAAATACCTTTGTTTCTCTACGTAATAAATTAAAAATTTTAATTTCAATCGCCATTTTATTAAATTCTTCTTTGTAGGAATGTGCCGTTTCAAAATAAAATTACTTTAATCGGGGAAAAAAAGAGCGAAACTATAAATTTTTAGAGCGAAATGATGCGGTAAGTTCTTTTAATGAAAAAAATCTTTAAATATGAGTTAAAGCTCGTAAGTATATAAAAACCCTGAACTGCCAACTGTAGTAAATGCTGTCATGCAATTATGTTTGTTGAAATGACAAACAAGTAAGCAGAAATCGCGATTACGGTACGGCAGATCCTTCCTTCTATGGAAGAGGTGCAACTCGAGTAGGTATCTACTGTCCACTAATTGTCTTCATCAGTTACTGACTCGTGAAGACGACGGAGAAAGTATTTCACATGAAGCGAAGATATTTGAAACTATATTGAACTTCCGAATTACCAAACAGTTAGATAACATTATGCGTGACAGTCAACATGGGTTCCGAAAGAATCGCTCAACGAATACTAACCTGATAACATATGTGGACTATGTCGGTGCAGAGATGGATTCTAGAAGACAGGTAGACGCCGAATATTTTAATTTTAGGAAGGCTTTTGACCTGATGACTGCTGTTTACAGAAGCTAGCTGAATTGGATTTTATTCCGAAGCTTCTTTAATTCTTTGCTAGTTATTTGGATAATCGTCGGCAATTCGTTAGAGTAAATAATTTCGAATCCGCTGATTATTTCAATAGATCTGGTATGAGTCAGGGTAGTAGGTACTCTTAACCCTACGATGTTTTTAATTTTTATAAATGACTTGCCTACCAAAGTAAAATCTGCGAAGTGTCTGAGCAGATGATCTAAAATTTAGCTTCGGGATTGGTGGTGCTACTAATGCATAGGTTCTTCAACAGGACGTAGATGCGGTATCGTAATAGAGTAAAATGAACCATCTTCCTCTGAATGAGACTAAATATAAGGTTATCACCTTTGCATTAAAACGGAATCCTTTCATTATTGATTATAATTTATATAACGCGCCTTTAGTAAGAGTATCCGACAGACGGTTAATATACCATTAGGTTTAATATTAGATACTAAATTAGATTTTCACAATCATATGACATCCATTTGCAAGTTAGCTAGTAAGACTTTGGGTTTTGTGATGAGGACTGCTGCTGACTATAATGATATAAGGATGGATAAAACGTTGTATAATGCGTATGTACGATGTAATTCTTTACAGTGGTAGAGCCACGCGGTAGATAGCTTTCACTGTCGAACGCATGGGCTGACTCGAAACAGGGTGGTATCACGACCTCGCAGACTACCAGCGTAAAGTAGAACTTTACTTCTTCTTATTAAACAATTTCTCACTCTGTGATTCAGCTTCATCCCTAACATACTCCTTAATGACCGCATTTCTACAGCATTTATTCTACTCTCATGCTTCTTCTGCCACACCCAACTTTCACTACCATACATTAAAGTAGGTACTAACACAGCATTGTGAATTGCCATACGTGCCTTTTTGGACACATTCTGACTTTTCACAATAGAGTGTAGAGCCCCATTCACTCTATTTCCTGCATTCACTCGTCGTTCTATATCCTTATCATATCTACCATCCCTGCTAAACACACATCCCAAATATACAAACTCATCTACTTGCTCTACCAACTCCCCTTCTATTCTTATTTCACATATCGTTTTACTTTCTTCTCTTTCAAAAACCATAACTTTCGTCTTACTTGCGTTCACTTTCATTCCCTTTTCTTTTAATGTCCTGTTCATTAATGTAACCATCATTTGCAACTCGGCTGCCGACGACGCAAGTATGACTTGATCATCGGCGTACAAAAGGCATTTGACGGTTAACTCACCCATTCTTAACCCGCATTCTTCTAC